GTTGTATGGATCAGTTTTGTTAATCAGTGACAATTTATATAAATTACGGTTCCTGAAATCTTTGCTGAGATTGTCTCGTATCTATTTGGTTTTTTTCTGTTTCTCCAGTTTGACGATTTAATTGGTTTTTACTGTACCGATCTGTATACTTTCAGTTCACTGCTCAATGCAATGATAGCTTCAAAATGGTAACAAAGAAAACACTGGTTACTAATGTTACCTCTGTTCCCTGAGATAAGGGAACCAGCTTATGGGGAAACTCCTGTTTACTCTGATAATGAAGCTTGATTTGTTCACGTTTGTGTAGCTGCACGAACCAATGGCACTTCAGCCCACCAAATGGGGAGGAGCCGACCTCTATATATGTCTGCCATTTCGTCAGAATCGTTTGCCTGAAGCAACTGTCAACGATTTGTGTGCAGCCTTATAGCACGGCAGCCTACGCAACGCTCGTTCCCTTATCTCAGAGAACCGAGGTTACGTTAGTAAATGGAGCATTCCCTTTCGAACGGTCTCTCCCATTGCATTGACACGCTATTAGCAAGTGCAGAATGAAGCCGCTCTGCGAGCCCAGCCCCAGAACCCCGTACTAAGGGCTCCTGTAAGCATGAGCCAATAATGAGACCCAAGCCATTTAGGCTGAGGACATAACTTAATCCTCTCCATTAACAAAGGGGATTAGGTAGACTTAAGTGGACCAATCTGTGCCTGCAGGGCAGGGACGTCCAAGTTATAAATCCTGGTGAAGGTAGACAGCGAAGACCAGCCAGTGGCCGCACAAATATCACCAATAGAAATCTTGCTGGACCAAGCCCAGGAGGAGGCCATCCCTCTGATGGAGTGTGCTTTCACTCCTACAGGACACTGTAAGCCCGCTGTGGCGTAAGCCAGGGCTATAGCATCCACTATCCAGCGAGTCTCTGCTTCATGACCGGCAGCCCTTTAGTGGCCTCTGAAGCATACATAGAGCTGCTCTGAGTGCCGAAACGGGCCAGAGTGCTTAACATACGCTCTAAGTGCCCGAAATGGGCAGAGTGGATTAGAACCCTGCTCACCTTCTGAATTGGGGAGCGCTAGAAGGGTGATGACTTGTGCTCTGAATGGAAAGCACTTTCGGCCCATAGCTGTGTCTCAGTTTGAGGACGACTCTACAGTCGTTAGGCCCAAACTCAAGACATGAAGCACTGACTGACAGCGCTTGCAGGTCACCCACTCACTTGACCGACGCCAAAGCCAGACGGAGGGCAGTCTTAAGCAACAGGGTCCGCAAGTCAGCCGAGCGGCTCGAATTATAGATAAGTCCCAAGTCGGCACACTATGAGGGCGAGGCGGATTCAATCTTCGAGCACCCCTCAGAAACCTAACGACCAGGCCGCTTGCGCCCCTTATCCAGTAGGTCTTGTAGAAAGGTTAGCACATAGGACACATCACAAGAGGATGGGTCCTCATTCCATGCTGCACACCAGTCAGAGTACATGAAGGCTCCACATCTTTGGCTGGGGATGCCAAATCATGTCCTTTGCTTGCGAGAGGAGGTCCATCCCCAATGGTATCGGCCAAAGGCTGCCGATAGCAGCTGAATCAACTCGGGAAACCACATGCAATGAAAGTTGTCTTCTGAGGGGAAGAGGTCCACCTCTGCCTTCTTGAAGACAGACCAGATCGTTTGAACCATTTGGGGATGTAGTCTCCATTCTCCTGGAGCTACATTGCCCCTGGACAGCATGTCTGCTCCCTGGTTCAGTCTGCCCGGCACATGAACTGCTTTCAGCCCTTTTTGCCCTGTGCCCATAAAAGGAAGCGTCGAGCCAACCTGTGGAGGGAGCGTGACCTGAAACTGCCTTGGCGATTTATAAAGGCTACCACCCTTATGTTGTCCAAATGGACCAGGATGTGGTGCCCCTTTAAGGCCGGCAGGAAGGTTTTTAGGTCTAGAAAAACTGCCATCATCTCGAGGCAGTTGATGTGCAAGCATCGCTCCAGGTTTGACCAGGAGCCAAACGCCAGTCTGCCCTCGTACAGAGCTCCCCAACCTGAGTTGGAGGCATCTGTCATGACTACCTTCCATCTGGGGGTCAGTCCAGACGGGATGCCTGATTGAAACAGGCTTGAGTCTTTCTAAAGGGCCACAGCACTGATGCAGCGGTGGGTTACCCTGATGAAAATGTCCCAGGCACCAAAAGGGTCTGAATGACGCTGCTAGCTGCTGAATTATCAGGGAGCGTTACGGCGTAATCCATGCCCGCATCTGGGCAGAATCGATAACTGTCCCCAGAAAGACAACACGCTGGCTGGGAGACAGAGAGCTCTTGGCTAAATTGATTTTTAGTCCAACCCGCTCCAGGTGGCAGAGCAGCAGCGACCTGTGAGCGATGAGTTCCTGTTCCGATCTGGCTAAGACCAGCCAATCGTCTAGGAAATTCATAATGCGGATTCCCATCTGTCTTAGAGAGGAAAGAGCCACGTCCATGCACTTGTGCGTGGGCCAGAGACAGTCGGAATGGTAGGACTGAATATTGATAAGCCACCCCCTCGAACGCGAATCTCAAGAGTGGTCTGTGATTGGGGGCTATCTGGATAAGAAAGCAAGCATCTTTCAGATCCACCGATAAAAAAAACAGTCCCCGGGGCATATTTGCACGAGGATCTGTTTATAAGTCAGCATCTTGAACGGGCGATTCAAAAGTGCACGGTTCAGATGCCTGGGCCCGCCATTTTTCTTGGGAGAGGAGTAGCCTCTGTGTGGGCGTTACCCAGACAGGCGACGCACTCACTGTGCCCATCTGCCACACATTTGCAGCATGACATTTGCAGCAATGTTGCTGGAAATTTGCTCAGAAATTTGCTCTTAAATGTGCCGGATGACCGCAGGGGAAGGCTTGTGGCTTCTTCCGCTGGCAGGGGCTCCTTCTACAGTTGTGAGCAGCAGGCTGAGCGGAGCTTCTTCCTTCTTCGGCTTCTTGCTTGCAGAGTCAGCGAGGAGATGATCTTCATCGCTAAAGGCGAAAAATTCTGACGAAATGGCACTCAGAGCCGCCTTATATAGAGGTTGGCTCTTCCCCTTTTGGCAGGTTGAAGCGCCATTGGTTCGTGCAACTACACGTATGTGAACAAATCAGGCTTCAGTATCAGCGTAAACAGGAATTTCTCTATAAACGTGTCAACGCAACGAGAACCGTTCGAAAGGGAACACTTTTGTTTGGTGAAATGAAGGTGTTATGAAAAACTTAGTGGGCCCTGAGAGCAACATGAGATTGTTAGGTTATTGTTCGATCTTTCCATCTGTGCATGAATAAAGTAAGTCAAAGGTAAGTTAGATTTTCTCTATTATTTTTCCCACCAGTATTGTGCAATTTTTTTGTAATCTTTGGACACTGGAAAAGGCTTTGATCTTGTACCTTGAGAAAGCTTGAGGATTGCGATTAATGTGTAATAGTGCAGACTGGATGAAATGAATGTTCTGTAAAAACACTGAGTCCAGGTTATCCAATGATGCTTCAAGGAAACACCATTTTGCATTTCAAATCCTTGGTAATCCTGACTGAAATGACAATTGTAAAGGGAGGTCATGAAGAAAGCATCAGATTTGACATTACAGCTGGTCAGAGGCCAACTCCTTGTGACTTTTTCCATTGGATTCTTAAGTTTTCCATAGGCACAATTTACGTTATATGATTCACAGAGTTACGAAAACCTAACCCCCCTTTTTATTTTAGATTGTTCAAATGGAAGCCATTTAAGATTTTCAGACAATTGTGAGATAAAGATTACAATAAAACAAAGTAACAATAGTTAAAAAAAATTGTAATGGTATAAAGTCACAATTTTGAGATGTAAAGTAGCAGTTACAAGAAATACAGTCTCAGTTGTGTGATAGAAAGTTGCATTTGTGAAATACAAAGTCACGATTATGAGAACAATTATAAGAAATAAAATTTGGAATTAAATACATTGTGAGATGTGAAGTTGCCATTAAAAGATAAACTTGCAGTTACGGGGAAAAAATTGCAGTTGTGGGATAAAGCCACGATTTTGAGATGTAAAGAAGCAATTACAAGAAGTAGATTTGCAGTTATGAGAGAGAAATCTTTAATTTTGGGATGGAAAGCTGCAATTGTGAAATATAAAGACTTGATTACAAGAAATAGTAACAATTTTAAGAAATAAAGTTGGAATTATTTGGAATTAATCAATTGTGTGATGTGAAATTGAGATTACAAGAGAGACAGATTTCTGAGATATAAATTCCCTATTATGAGAAAAAAATAGCAATTGTAAGATATAAAGTCACAGTTGTAAGATACAATATTACAATTGTGAGATACAGTCAAAATTATGACAAATAAATAGTTGTTTTATTTATTTATTTTATTTATTACGTTTTTCTCTGAGCCGAAAATGGACTTCCATGCAAACTTGCAAGCATTACAATGAAAGCGTTCTTATAATTTCAGTGTGTTTTCTCTTTTTTTATGCTTCCATAAATATTCCTACCCGCAGATCTAATTCTTTGGAAATAAGCCTCAGTACGGATTATTGCCTGCTGTGTGATTTCTGAGAGTTTGTGTTTATGAAGTCTCCCAAGTTGTTGTTTAACAGACCCCTGTGCAGTTCCAGATTATGGCCCAACAAGAGAAACGACAATGACGTTTGCTGTTAGAAGAAAAAGGTGTGAATTCCAGGTCATTGTCTGTGGCAATGTCTTGTGTCAGTGAGTTTATTTTTATAATGCTCTTGCTTTTATATGCAAATTTGTTGTTAATTTTAGTCATAAAATGTAAAAATAAATGGATCAGGTTAGAAGGGACTTGCATGAGGTAAGACTGGTGGGAGTCTAATCTTAAAGCTTAATCTCCATGGCCATAAGGCTTTATGACATGCCCGGAACGGACCAGTAACAGCGGATGCGGATGGCACCAGGGCAAAGATTAATCAGCTGCACATTATTTAAAGGCCATCATAAGACAAAGTCCCTGAGCTGACTCCGTTTCGGCCACAGAATGAAGCGGCTTAGATGTTCTTGGAGCTCCTTGAAACCCCTAATCATTGTCTGCACGCCACTGGCTTTGCTACCGCTGCCACTGGTCATCAGAAAAAAGGTTAGACATGCTACAAACACATGTGGAAAGATTTTCTATCAGGTCAGATCTCAATGAAAATTATGTGAAAATTAATATTTGTTAAGAGTAAAATTAATGTAATGAACTAAGAGTAATGAAGCAAAACTTGTCTAAAGAATTGTATATTATATTGTACATTTTGTACAAATACTTTGGCACATATTAATTAGCTTTAAAATGCATTTAAAAAATATTTAATGTCTTTTGCTCTCAATTTCAAACTTTCACTTTCGATTGAAAGACATTTTTGCAAAGACATTTTGATATACTTTTTTTTTGTTTTTTTGTCCAAGACAAATACTTTTTGCCAAAAGACGGATAATGTAAAAGACGCTGGTTTTGATTGCTTCAGTCCTTTTTGTATTACTGGTTATCTTCTGAATGGATATAATCCCAATCCCTGATATCATGTCCACTAGGAAGCAGAATGTGCATACATCCTAATATTAATGGCTGTGTACTGGATGACGGAAGTCATTCCTCTGTCTGTGACGGCACTTCTCCCTGCGCTGCTTTTCCCTCTTTTTGGGATCATGAAGTCCTCACGGGTACACTTTCCTGAACTAGTCACTTTACTTTTTGAAGACAATCCTATGGAAAGCTGATTACAATAGGCCTATTTCTGGACTAATAATGTGACTGACCGACCATCTTTCTTTAGGTTGCATCTGTATATTTCAAAGACTTTCACTTGTTGCTTCTTGGTGTCATCTGTCTAGCAACATCCATTGAGAAATGGGGTCTTCACCGGAGAATTGCCCTCAGATTGGTGACTGGGCTTGGAGTCAATCCTGGCATGTAAGACTGATTTTATTTTATTATTTGTGTTGTGATGAATCATAGTAGGATGGACCAATGCAAACCTGCTTGTTTACTGTGAAATGTGTTTGACAGGTTGATGCTCAGGTTCATGGTTGGCTGTGCTTTCCTCTCTATGTGGCTGAGCAACACCTCAGCTGTGGCGATGGTAATGCCAATTGTCGAGGCAGTGATCCAGCAGGTTTTGAACGCAAGTGAACAGGCCAGCAAAGACCACAAGGGGGCGTTAAATGGCATCTCCAACCCTTCTCTTCAGCTTGAAGGTAAACTGGTGCAGCTTTCATTTGAGATGAGCAGTAAATGATCATTTTAACCTTTTAGAGCTGTGCCGCATTTAATAATTAAACATCTGTTTTCAGATATTGAGGCCCAGTATGACCAGTCTGAGAAGATAAAAAGGTGAACATATGTAAAATTACAAAAAAAAAAAAAAAAGACAGAAAACAATTGTTTTTTAAAGTCTGAATGAGATTTTTTTGTACACTTATAGCATTGAAGCAGGAATTACGGAGCCAGTTCAGACAGCTCCTGAGCCTGAGGAACCAGAAGCTGTGAAGGTCAGTAAAACATGCACAATCTGACATTAAAATGCACAAAATCCTTCTCCTTGCTTTTCCAATAAACTGGGATTTCTCTATATGTGTTAGCCGCCTCCACTATATAATGGAAAGTACAGGACCCGTGAAGATCACATGATGTGCAAAGGCTTGTCACTTTGCATTGCCTACTCCTCATCCATTGGGGGTCTGACCACATTATCAGGAACATCCACAAACCTTATCTTTGCTGAATACATTTATCAGTGAGTTTACAATTTGGCTTCAAACTAAAGTGTGGAACTATTTTAGTTTTAATTGAATTAGTATATACTGTTTCCCATTATTTCTAATACTGTATATTATATGGATTGGTCAGTCCATCCTTCTAAACTGTGCTTTTTGTGACATTTCCTCAGGTACTACCCAGAATGCTCCATCATTAATTTTGGGAACTGGTTCGTGCTTTGTCTTCCCATCTGCATAATTATGCTGATTTTGTCATGGATATTCCTGCACTGGATGTACCTCGGGTCCAAGTTGAGTGATCGTGATGTCTCCTATTCAATAAGTCGTTCCCTGACCCCTCTCTGTTCCTCATTTTTACTCTTCGTCTTTGGCTTTCATTTAAATTCATCATTTCAAATCATGCTGCCATTTGCATTTTTCCAACCTCACCGCTTCAGCTTCCTCTACATGTCCTCAATCTTCTTCATCCTGCTCTGCATCTCACTCACTCACAGCCTCCCATTCTCATCGCTCTAGAATAATCCTGTTTTATCGAGCAGCCTTCTTCATTTCACCCCGTTGAGATTTTCTTCTATCCCTGATGAAGAATCACTCACAGAACATGGATGCATGACGTTGTGACAGAGATTGTTCTCATGCATAGTTTAAATGGATTTTTGTCATATGCAGATATTTCAGTCAATTCATCCGCTCGTCAAAATCAACTACATGTGTGCATTGAAATGACAGTGAATGAACTGAACAATAAAAGCATATCTACTTTTACATCCATCCCTAGCTTTCGTGCCAGTCTGTGCTCCAGACAGCAATCTGAAAAGGAAAAACACACTGCCAAAGTGCTCCAGGATCAGTACAACTCACTGGGGCCCATAAGGTTGGAACTCTTCTTTTAATTTCAAAGATCTTAAAATTTTGAAAGTGTGAACTGTACTTATTTTCCCCTGATGATCCTCATGCATTGATCAATCAATACCATGATTTTGGTGTAGGGTTTCTGTTTTTTCCAAACAGCAGGAGACTCTTTTCCTTATATTTATCTTTAAATGTTAAAGTCCACGTGAACTGGAAGTTGCTGCCGACTTTACTTTAGTATTGTGACGACTTTTCAACTGAAACTGAATATTAAATAGAGGACGGGGTTTTATTTTAGCACACCTCCCCCGACATCTCTCGCTCTCAGCAAGCTAACATCATCAGAGAAGCAATGCCATTTCAGAGAGGAAGCACATTTTCAGATTTTGATTAAAGATGACCAAAACAAACAAATTTTTTTTTCAGTGGATTTATTTGCACAAATGATTTGTTCACCTCAAGACTAGCAATTTGCGCTAACAAAGTAAATAGTGTAATTTTTGGTTTCATGCGGACTTTCATGTGCATTATGTGTTAACGTGTCAAAGTGTGCCATTTTGGCAAGGTTAGAAGTATTTCAAGACCTGATTATGTCCTTATTATTTTGATTATTAATATAGAAGTTTAGAAGTTAATTTTTTTACTTAAGACTTGAATACACTAAACAACTTTTAAAATCTGAACAGACTTTGAAAGTGGTGCAGAGAAAAACTGGCATCGTACACTAAACAACTGAGGATCTCACACTAACAGACTTTCAAGTAATTTCGAAAACAGTAAACTTATACAGAAACACGCGTCTCATTGCTAGGAGGCGCATGACAAACTGAAAAAACAAACGGTCTGTGCCCATCATACAATATGCTAATTTCTCGTGACTATTTCTCAGCAACTAGTGTTGACAGCAAATCGGGGAAAAGTCATGTAGTGTATTCCAGTGTTTAGAGCAATGAGATGCATACATTTCTGATCATTTCTCTGTAACACTGTTTCTCTACTGATCCAGCTGGCAGGAAATTATCACCATGATCATCTTCATTCTGATGGCAATTTTGTGGTTTACAAGAAACCCAGGTTTCATGCCTGGCTGGTCATCACTGTTTCCTGAGTGAGTGTATTCACATTTATCAACTTCTTTTGATGTAGATATACTTCTGCATTTCAGAGAAAGTCATCATTCTATTCAATAATTGCCTTTAGATTTCTAATTTATCCTTTGTATGTTGTTATTTCTTCAGTTACCCAGGTTACGCTACGGATGCCACTGTAGCGCTGTTGCTGGGTTTCATGTTCTTCATCATCCCTGCACACAAACCAAATGCAGAGCACTACGGTATGGCTTACTCATTTCCTTTGTGCATGCGTGAAAACCTTCCAAATGATTAGAGGCTCACTATCAGCTGTTTTGTTGCTGATTAACGTTGTTGATCCCTGTGACAGTGGCTTTGATAACGTGGAAGGACTTCCAGGCCTGTATGCCATGGGAGATCAGTCTGCTTGTGGGTGGCGGTTTCGCTTTGGCTGAAGGCACAAAGGTAGGATCAGGATTTAATGGAAAACCAACTATATCTGTGAGAGAAAAAAAGAAATGAATAGAAAAGTACAAGGCCGCATTAATAGATGAATCAGTTAATGGTCCATTTTAACATGCCTGGATTCAATTAAACAGGCCAGTCTAATTCACTAGTGGCTTTGGACAGGCCTGGACAGCTCAATTGCACCCTTTACTCATAATCTTAAACATTAATTTCCTTTTAAAATAAATAAATGAAAAGACGGATCACATCAAAGCCTCGTAACAGCGTGCAGCCCATTAACGTTGCACAGAGAACAACAATTCCACTGTGTCACTCTCTGTCTGCTTTGACGTTCCATTCAAGCTAATTACACGCCTCCATTATAAGACTGGCACTGAAGCACATCATTTCAGCATAACAAACGGCTCCTTCCTCATGTCAGTCGCAAAGGCTGGAAACAAGAGCGTCAACTTCTTAATATTCTCCTGGTGTAGGTAGGCTGGGGTGGGGTCTTATCATCAAGGCTCCAGCCCTGTTTTGATCCAGACACCCAAATGTCATGGCAAGTCCAGTCTTTAAAATCTTCAAAGCAGAAAGGGTGACTACTGTGCTGCATTCTCCATATGCAACATCAGGCTGTTTGGATGCCGTATCTCGACAAACAGCTAAATTACGACTCCAGTCTCTGTTGACAAGCATACAAAGAGATGTTGGTACATTTATGAAAGTGGGTTCGTTTGAGTTCATGAATATCTTGGCTGGACACTTTTGTGTTTCAAAGATGATCTGATGTTTTTTTAATTTTTTTTTCACCCGACAGATTTCTGGTCTATCGACTTGGGTTGCTGAATTGCTGACTCCCTTGGGAAGTCTTCCTCCTTTAGCCACTGTCACCATTGCCTGCCTTATTGTCACCTCTATCACAGAGGTGGCCAGCAATGCTGCCACGATGACAATCTTTTTGCCTATACTGGCCCCCTTGGTATGTGTCAATTCAGTATATGTAGAATATTACTTTTACTTCACTTTTTTTGGGCTGATCTCATCAGAAATTATCTTTATTAGGCCGAGGCAATTGGAGTCAACCCTCTGTACATGCTGATTCCCACAGCCCTATGTGTGTCCTTTTCATTCCTACTTCCAGTTTCTAATCCTCCTAATGCCATTGTCTTCACATATGGTCATCTGACAAGCATGGACATGGTGAGTCCTTATGGCCACATACACACTACAGCTAAATTCGGTTGTCAGTTCACCTTTTACTTTCCTTAATCGCGTTCTGTACACACATAATTCACTAAAATACGGGATTGACAACCGCATTAACTCCCAAAAAATACAGGTAGTGACAACTGCATGTACAGAAATTCTATGCAGTGTGTACGGAACCGAACTGAACAACTAGTTGTTAATGAAGATGTCACGAGAAGCACGCAGATGTGTGTGTATTGTCAGGCATCAAGGGTTTACCTCAGATCTGACAGGATGGTGGAAAGAAGTGTATTGTGGACCGAGCAGTTGTGGTCAAGAGAGTGTAGGCTGCTCAATAACAACAGTTTAAAGAACAAAACTAGATTATGACGCCTCTCCCGACTACGGCGATTTAATAACGTTTTGTGGATTTTCGCATGTCTTTGCAGTCTAATGTCTGTTTTGTCAACAGCAGGCAGCTAACACAAAACTAGCTAATCTGTGGGCCTCCATTCTCTCCGAAATGCCACAACATTGCTATGGTTACCACGCTGCCATTCATAGCAGTTTCGGGAGTGAGTCGTGTTCCGTACACACATGGAACGATAATTTACGGGACTTACTCCCATATTTAAATGCGGTTGTCACTCCTGAAACTTGCAGTGTGTACGTGGCCTATGATTTTGTTCCTTTGGAAGTCATTTTGGATGTAAATTTTTATAATGTGTCAAAGGTAAATCTTATAAATTTACAGTAACTGAGCTTTGTATGGTTTTCTTTGTCACTATAGGTGAAGGCAGGGCTGGGGGTAAATATTATAGGTGTTCTTACAGTCCTATTAGCTCTTACGACATGGGGAACACCTCTGCTTAACCTGGACACCTACCCAGACTGGGCACCAGTTGTAAACGGCACAGGAGTATGACCATCACTGTGAATATTTTACAAATGTGGATATTTAGTTTTCAAATTACATGGGATCCCTTGATGTTGGCTGAATTGTTGATAGCGCAAAGCCTACAATCCAAATGTTTTACTCATTTGGATCACTTGGGCAAGATTGTATGACCAGCTTGGATTAGGCAATACAACAGACTGAAAGCTTTGGGTTCCATGAGATGTTCAGTTTGAACGTCATTTTTTGTTTGTATGTTTTTGTATTATAAGCATTTTAATCTTTGTCATCATTGGCTCAAGTCTGTGATTCCTTTTGACATTTACTCTTTTGAGGGGTTCAAAGAGACCAGTAAAAGCTGTTAAAAACAGCTTTGGTGCACAATTCAACTGTGCCATGTTTATACAAAATGTATTATATAATATTAAAGATATTTCTTTAGCTTTAAGCAGAGTTTGAATGACAGGGTTAGTCCCTTCAGCTAACATAGCACTTAATGTTTTATATAACTGTATATTTTTGTTATACACTTGCCTGTACATATATATATATATATATATATATATACATACAAAGAAGTGAACTGTATGAGTAGAATGTTGAAATTACATTGTGAACAAATGACAGAGTAAATAACAGACAACATTTTCAAGAAAGTACACAGTCCCACTTTCAACATTAGAGATGAACTTGCACATAACAGTGGCCAGGAAATAATAGCTATTGATTTTAGGTGAGCTACTCAGCTGTTTGGCTTCTTGCAAAAAAATAAGCATTTCTAGCCAGTTCCAATTTTGTTTTTAACTTTATGTTTTTGTTTGTTTCAGTAGTATTTTAAAATTCACTATTACAGAAGTTTGAATTTTGCATAGAACCTTGATGTCAAATTTGGTTGACATCCATTGTTCATATGTGTAAAATGTTTCTTGTTACAACTAAAACTGTGAGACAGTTACTGTCTGTCTTGTGTGTTCTACATATGTTTCACATATGTTTTGGCAAGGGAAAAAACATTTAAATAAACATCTGGAACCATTCACAGTCATCATGTTCTAGCAGGAATTCAAACAGATTTTAATAAACAAAGCTTTGCAATCTGTATCAGTTTTAATTGAACTGTGCACTGTGCAGTGGATTGTCTCATCTCTAATTACTGAATCCCAAAATTAAATTTTTTGACAAATCTAGCCTGGGTGGCAGACTTATCAAAGAGATTCAAGAAGCAGATTAGCTTTGATGAAATGAGGTTACAGAGAACAAATGTCATCTATTTATCTGCAGTTGTGGCTGCTTAGAGATAAGTAATGCACCTAAATGGCTCTGAAAGCATATCTGTCTTATAACAATAATTCCCTCCCATTTTCATTAGAGGGAAGGATCGGAAAATAAAATTGTATAATAATAATTAAAATATATGAGACTTTAAAGCTGATGTAAAACAAAAGAGGAGGCTCTAATGTGTCATCTGAATGGGCTTGGGCTAATATTTGTTCTCAAAGTGAGGCAGTGATGAGAACTAATTCTGTAAACACCCACGTTATGAAAATTCATGCTCGGATCCTGCAGCCATTGCGATTCAAGGTCACCGTTCAGTTGAGGTAATGACAGCCTGTCTGAAGGGTCTAATCTGATTATGTATTATTTAATACTTACTTTTTGTATACTTAATTATGGTGCAAGGACTGTTGAGTTTAACAATCAGGAATAGCTTTTCTCCAAGCCTTATTGTGAGTCATTGCAGTCATATAATTTCTCCCTGGGTGCACAGGTCAGCAAGCTGAATATGAACACTGTGGTTTGCTTTTATCGTTCAAATATTTTTCACATATATAAATTTATATTACTTTGCCACTGGGTAAGGCGCCTTTATACTTGTTATGACTTCTGGATGTGATCGAGGCAAATCGCCCCCTACTGACAGTCATAGTGAACTCTTAATTTATTTATAGACCTGGCATGTTTTTAGTGATATCTCCAGTAAAGGAACATTTACTCTCCTTTTATTGGATATAATTTTCTGTTGTTCAGAAGAGCATTTAGACAAAATGGTTGATAATTTTCATTTTGCTCTCATATTTTAATCGAAGAACATGAGCATGGTCTTACATTTCTCAATTTCAATTTCATATTTAATTATCTGTGACTGAAAACAAGCAGGCGAGGGATAGACAGCTTGTATTGGGTTGTAATGTCTTTCACATAGTTGTTGATCATTCAGTTGATGAAATATTTTAAAACATTTTTTGTACATTTAACCCTCAGAGACTCCATTTGTCATTTGCAAAAAATATATATGTCTGCCCTGATTAAGGTTTATTATTTCTTACTGTATCACAGCCAGAACTTTTTTTTTTTTTTTTTTTTTACATTTTGTACAACTCATTATCTGTATTTGTATATATGCACAAAAGGAAATATGCTTCTTTTTGTTAATCACCATTTCTAGTTTTTATCTTTTCTGTCTATACATTCCCTGCCAAGTGACTGGGGTATAGGCTACACTAAGAATCGTCATGTACTGTTGTCTATGTGGCATTGATTGGTATTGGGTTTTGATAATAAAAATGAATAGGTGCAGTGCTGAATTTATTAATAGTGGAGTAAATTTAACATGAACACATTAAAGTTGCATCGGTATCTACAGACTGCACCTTTAAGAAGGGAACCTCCCACGTGTTGCATGTTGTCCATGCCACAGGTTGCCTACCTGTCTCGCATAACTGCAATAACCTCCTCACGCTCGCGCTCTCTTCTCGAGAGAAATAAAGAATGTGGCTCAATCCAACCTTCTCCGAATCGCTCTCGGATTGACTCCGCCCTCAAAAGTCTCGCGACTGACACATTTGACATTCTCTCAGAAAAAAAAGGGGGGAAAAAAACTCCGCTTTTGTGGTCGAGGTCGTCAGAAACCTCTCGGGTGTCCTCGCTTTTCCCACAGCTGTGAGGAGTTGTCGCCTCTTGAGTGTCGACTATGCTGGACCCGTCCTCCAGCGATGAATCTGAGGGCGAACTACCACCCGAGGACGAACCGCCCGTTAAAACCGGGAAACCTGTTAAAAAGAGTCCCAAACCTGGAAAGACGTCGGACGCCCCACGAACCAAAACCAAGGAACCGGTCCCTTCTCCCGCCAAGGCGGACAAAACCGAGCAGGAGAGACTTAAGAAAGAAGAAGCGGAGAGGAAAATTAAACTACAAATTTATGTGTTTGTTTTGAGATGTATCGCGTATCCGTTTAACGCCAAACAGCCCACAGATATGGCTCGCCGTCAGCAGAAGGTGAGTGACCGTTGATCCTCTGTTTGGAATATTTCGCGCTTTAAATGACGCTCACCTCAATCCATTGAATCCGCCGCTGCCAAACCTGTTCACTGAGGCAAACTTTGGTCTTTTTACACCCAGCGCATCGGTCAGGGGCTCAGTGTTTGGGTTCAGTAGTTGCAAACAGTTCTTTTACAGGTTTTAAAGAAGAGTTGTAAGACTGTCAACTGCAAATTCTTGCGCATCTGAACGTGTTTGTTTACTGTGCTCATTCAGTATCTGTGTTACCCTACCGATCAACTAGCTGGAGCATCATGCTAAATTGCTTACATTGATAAAATAGTGCAAATAAAGGTTAGTATCACGCTTGATTTTTTTTTCAGATATTATGAAGTTTTATTTGCTTTGTTTTTACAATAGATAGACTTAATTTCTATATCATAATTTTTAGGTATGTTGATAAAAATGATTCGTGTTTTTATTTATTTAATAATTTGTAGTGAGATTGAGTGACTGTAATTGTAAACACTTAATTGAGAAACCTATTTCTTACACTAAATATTAGTGTAATAGATTTTACACTAACTGCAACGCAAAATAATGATCTTTAAAAAAGCATCATATGACCCCTTTAAGCAATTTCCAATAGCATAAATAACAGCATATCTGTGAATTATTTATGATGTGAGAAAAATCAATTAAAATAGCTTTTCTGAAGGAAATTAGTTTGAGGAAAAAATGTGTGCTCCATGACAGAAATGGATATTAAAATGACCAGCAGGATATAGCGTGACCAATAAAACCCCTAATATTTGCATACAAAAATGTGTACAAAATGGTTTTGTTGCCCTGAGGTATCATGGTGCAACATGACTGTAAATATACAAAAATATTATTTTTTATTATTTCAGGCCCTGTTTGGGGTTTGGACAACCTCTAGGCACCCATTTGAAAGGGCAGTTCCCGGAGGAACTTGCAACTTCATGCAAGAACTTTGATTGTCAATAATTCCCTCAGTAACCCCATCAGAAGAGAAAGGCTTTGAGGCACTTAAAATATATTTTGAACTTCTATGAGTACACAATTTTTGAGGCACCTTCAGAAGGGTGCCTAGAGGCTCTCAAGAGGGTTCTGCCAGTGTGGCAGACTGAGGAACCTCAAATGCTGCCTAAAGTCTTTTCATTTTTATGGTGAATATTGCACCATGTTTCCTAAGGGTAATAAAGCACTTGTCTTCACTTCACAAGTACTTGAAGATGAGATAAAATTAAAGGGGTGACTTAGAGAAGAAATGGTCTTGGTTACACTGCGTCATGGTCATTATAATATCTTTTTTTTTTTTTTTGGCATGGTACATTGTGCGGAGGAATAGTTGTTTCCTTGTTTCAAAAAGTCTCCTTGTTTCAAACCCACAATTGCTTTCGTTCATCTTTGGAACGCAAATTAAGATATTTTTAATATGATCATTTTTGACCATCAATTCACAGTCTAGATAATCGACATTTTCAAGCTGTCAATTCGGAACAACTTGAGGGCGAGTAATTGGTGACAGAATTTTAATTTTTATGTGAACTGTCCCTTTTAAGTACATAAGAGAACAAGAACTTGAATGGTTACCATTGAACAGCAGTTTTGTTTTGATTTTTTTTTTCTCTCCTCTTGGTATAAATGTAGAATCACTTCTGAAAACAAGCGCATATGCTATTTTTACCAGCACACACCCACTACCTCTATCATATACAGCTTTTGGAATCGACCTATTAAGTGATTTTAGTTTCTGCTTAATGCATGTAAT